GCCACTCCTGTGATGATGTGAATGAAGTGCTCGATCTCTCTGGCGATGGGGGTTTCGCCCATTTCCAGACCTGAGGCCAGATTCGCGATGCGACCCATAATAGTGCGGTCGCCGGTGTTGATGACCAGCCCCCTGGCCGTCCCCTCAACGCAATTGGTCGAGAAAAATGCCAAATTCTTGGACTCGAGAGGATTGTCGCTATTGTTCTCCGACGACCGCGACTGGGCCTCAGACTCGCCGGTCAGACACGAGTTGTCGACTTTGCATGACTGGGCGGACACGACCCGCAAATCGGCGGGTATTCTGTCGCCTCCCTTCACTTCCACCAGATCTCCGACCACTAATTCTTCCGCAGGAAAGGTGTACTTCTGTCCGCCTCTGATGACTGTCGCATACTATCCGTACAAAACATTGTATTCATTATATGAAATGAAAATATTATTAAATTTATACATAATTTAATCTTAAAAATAAAGTATAATTCAATTTTTTAGATAGTGTTTGTTCACTATAAAAATCTATTAAGGTATAGTACTTTTCAAAAGTATATGTAGTGTATGTTTAAAATTTATTTTAAAAGTATAATTTATGCAAAATGTATTAAATTTTAGAGTTTATTTTAAAAGCCATTATGCCATAATTTATCAAGCTATAAGTTTTATATTAGTAAACGCATTTAAATTTTGGTTCGCTTGATTTTTATTGAGACCATAAAATAAACTAAATAAAATAAAAATAAATTCTTACACAAATTCTTAAATTTATATTTATTATAACATTATATTTGGAGTACCACTTAATTAAGGATCAGATTCTGTACGAGTTTTGTGGCAAATTCTTTATGAATTAAACATCACTGTAATAATGGAAAATACAAAATAAATCTATTTATAATCTATATAAAAATAACAAAAACCCATTGATTTATTTTGAAATGTTAATAAATTTGATAGAGAAGTAGAAACACTTACATTAGAAAAAACTTTTCACTTTTGAACTTCAAAAACTAAAGCCTTTTCAGTGCAACTAAATCTCCTAATTCCGAGTATTGAAAGGAATAAATACATTTTACACACAATTCCCATCATTAAACCGAAAGTACAGTAACAGTATTAGTATAGCAATGGGTTTCCGTGTGCACTGTATATATGAAGTATTGTTTTAGTTTCGGTCTAAATGTGAAAACCAAGCGATTCTCTAAAGGCATCACAATTTTCATCAATTACTCGATAGCACTGCGAAAGGCTAGGGAGAGGGCACTGGAGGGGAATTAAGTGCCACTACGGGCTAAACAATGAGTTATCAACTCCAGAGTTTAATACTTTATGGCATAATAATGTTATTAATACTAACGAAATGGTATTAAATAAATTAAAAATATATTTTTGGCAAAAATAAAAGTTCAATATTTAATTGCAAACATTATTAAAATATTACATTTATATATAAATAAATAGCCATATACCTGGGGCACCATATTTTTAAACGACTCCATGATCTTGGAACTCTTAGCCTCTTGATAGTAGGAAAACACCCCGGTCACCACCACCACTGCCACCAATACGCAACCCAAATAGAGCTATCACAATTAAATAATAAAATAACATTAATTGAACATGATAATAAATTAATATAAATTCGTTTATAAAACAAATATCACTAAAACTTAAAATACTTGTCTAATAATTCATAAAAAATAGATTACTATCATATTTTTAGATCACAACTACTATTAATTATCGAAACTTATTTGTTAGTTAGTGCTTGGTGATCCCAATAGCAAAGTAATTACTTAAACTAATTTACAGTTATAGATGGAATTTCATTAATAAATAACAAAATTAATGAAAAGTGAACAAAAATAAACTACATTATCGTCGGGTGGCTCCTCGAAAGTGCCGGCCTGTATAGAGTAGGCCACGAAACAGAGTACACCTCCGATCCACAACAACATCGCGAACCCGCCGAAGAGGTTCTTACAAAACTTGATCCACTCGGGAGTCGTCTTCGGGGGTGTCAGTGCGTTGGGTCCATCCCTTGCCAAGTACTCCTTCGCCTTCTCCGGTGTCAAACCCTGTCGTCAAATGTCAGACAATAACAGTTACTATAAGTTATTAATATTATAACAAGAATTTGTCGCACAAAGTGATAGAATTTTCTGTGTTTTCTTATGGCTTTTATGTTTGTTTAGATACTTGCGGTTAGAGTTCAATTTATTATGGATTGAAGTTTATGTGAGAGAAATATAGTGATAGAGAATGAGAAAGAAAATGAAGAGAGAATCAACAAAAACTAGTCTTAATATTAAAGTAAATGTATTTATAAGTAATATTCACTGCATTCTCGGTGTCCCTCGCAGTGTATAAACACTTGAGATTCTTATGGCATTAATACTCTTAATACTTGTATTAATAATGTTGAGTCACTTGAGCGCAACTTTGAATGGCATTCCCTTATATAAAGTTTAAAGGGTATTAAATATGCCGGCCTTTGCCTAAAATACCACTCCAATCGGCAAACATATAATCAAAAAAAGTTTTAGATTTACTCCGAGAAAAGAGTATTAAAGACACAAAACTCTGTGTAAATGTCAATAAAAATTTCTTTATATACACTTTGTGTGCAAATAAAGTGCTTTTCATAGGGCTGTTACGAAAACGCTATTATCTATGGTCTGATTGCATCCACACTCCTATGCCATACTGTCCCCGAGTCTTTGCGTATGAATATTTAAAATATCAATCACCAAATTTCTTACCCAAGAATAAAAGCAAATATTTAGTCAATATTTTTATGTCAATTCATATTAAATTCTTATTGAGAATATAATCGTAATATCGCCAGAAAACACATTATTATTGCATAAGTTATTGTTAAAATAGGTTTTGTGAACGCTTTTTCGTGAATACTTAATACATTTATAATTCAATAAAACTCTCATCATATTTATAGTCGCAGTCTTTGTGTTTTCTTTCCTCCCTTTCCCCCACAAACCATCCCTTTTATGTAATGTCCTCTCCTTTCCATAAAGACATCATTCATTTTATTACACAAAATGCAAGTTATATATCATTATTGCCTTTTCTTGAGATCAAAATCAAAAGCCAAGAGTCGTTAAATCAAAACAATCGCACAGAATATACAGCAGTACTTGTGTTCCCAATCATCGCATATCTGTCTCTAATACTACTAACAGTAATATAAACTAAAGGCTCATATTTTTCATTCAATAAAATTAATATATTGTTTGCCTTTGAGATGAAGTGTACGAGAGATTTGGTTCAAAGAATGTATTGAAATATCAGAGTCTCTGTTGATATATACAGAGACTTAGAGAAAGGCAGACACAGAAACAGACTGACAGAAGGAATTGGATCGAAAAGGATAGCGAAAAATGTTTTCTATGCAATCGATGGCATACAGTATTGGCCGACAAATTGTCTGACAAATTGAATGTCTGCCGGCTATACGAGAGATATCACTAAATGGGTAAATAAAACACATTATTTACTGTCATTCACAAAGTGTGACACATAAAAACTTATATGGATAACAACAAAAACATGGCCATCTATCTGATATGCGGATTCATGTGCTAATACACAGAATATTCCGTACAATTGGTGGCTATAATGCGAGTAATCGACAAAACGCTTCATATTCTGTGTGTGTATAATACAAACAAGTAATTGCATTTCAAATGCAATTAATGCATGTTTTGAGGAATAAATATATTTATTTCTTAATAGTATTAATACTTTCATTTAAATGCTAATTCTGTGCTCAACACACACGCAATGGACGTGTATTTAGTTGGAATTAGAGATCACTTTCCCTGTCGAGTGGCTACACTATATATGTGCACAGAATATATGAGCCGGGATATCGGGCAATTTATTTGCAAATAACAGTATTATAGTTAACAAGTAATTGAAATCCAGACACTTTTCTTAGACGTTGCCCATAACAGAGACACAATCTATTAATCATTATATTCTTTATGTCCGCAAGAATTATATGAATGTTAAGAATTTTGCTCACATTTTTCGCATAAGTAGTAATGCTATGAGAAATAGCGTTAGCAAAGAGTGTACACAAGAATTAAATCAATTCTTGAGCGCAAGAATTCAATTTGTGTTTTTTTTCTGTGAAAGCCTTTCGTTTCGCCTACTTTTTAAACGCTATTTAAATAATATAAAAAATCCTCTTTTCTTAGGAAACACTTTAGAATTCAGTAGTTTTAGTGTGAGTTTCGTGAAAAACTTCTCCTTTTGTTAAAAATACTAATATCAGCGAAGAAATGGAGAAAAAAGAGTAAAACAATCAAAAATATTTTAGGGCTTAATTCGGAGCGCATTTTGTTGAGACAAACTGAAAAATTTGCACAAAAAATATATTCTCGCATTCATTAATCAAATTAATGGCAACTTTAACGCACTATTAGCTGTGGAGTAGTTTTTTGACATTTCCCTAACCATAAGTTGCAATAAATTTTAAATATGATTAATTTCAAATAATACTTTTTTCTTATACTTTATTTATGGCTTTATTTGCTGCCATATAAAAGCAAAATATTCACTAAAAAGCTAATAAAACAGACAATACTCACAGTTTTAATACTCGTCCGAAGTCTATTACATAGCTCTTCCATTGGGATCTGGTGCTCATCCTATGGTTACCACAAAAATAAACAAGCACGAATTAATTATTTCACAAAATATTTTTGTTCATTGAATATAACGAGTATACAAAAGTATAATCTATAGAATTTGTTATCATAATGGAAAACAAATGAGATATAACGTTGACATCTCAATCAATAAATTTCTATCTATTTTATGTTTGGTTATACTTTTTCCACTCATCTCTCTCTCTCTCTCTCTCTCTCTCTCTCTCTCGACTTTAATCTATATATCCAAGTGTTGATCAAATTTGATATAAATCTCGATCTCTATCTATGTCTAGATATTTCTTTCCAATGCATTAAACATTTCAAATACACACTTAAGACTTCATTCAGAGACATTAATACAAACACACAAATAATGAAAACCATTGCCTATTGATATGGAACACACACAGAGAGAGAGAGAGAGAGAGAGAGAGAGAGAGAATAAAATTTATTGATATTTCAAAAACAGATTAGATTTTGACTGAATGTGTATTTGATATCAATGGCAATACAACTGCTAATATGTTTATATAAAAATTGTATGACATTTATTTAACAAAAAGCTTTACTTTAATAAATTATTACAGAATTATTGTGATATAATTTTATAATTTATTTTACAATATAATAATAATAGTCAAGTATTATTCTACTATGAAATAAATTATACTAATAGGAAATACAATATTATTTATAGACAAACATTCATTTAAAACTGTTTTATAAATTAGAAAACAGTAATAAATTTTGCATAATGTCATAACTAGAATCTAGTATTGCAAATTATTGCAAAAGTTTTGAATTAAACATGAATTAAGAATTGGTATTTTTACAGAATTCTTAAATAAACATAATTTAAAACATATATTTGCAAATTATAGTTTTTATGATTGTTGTAACGATTTATTAAAATTATTAAAATTTCTATTTTAATAATCATTATCCACTTAATTGTATAAAATATGCAAACATAGAGCCAACAGTCATAAAGAATATAATACATTATTGTTGTTTTAATTACTCTATTACTGTATTTTATATAATATAAGAATTTTATGAATTTTTAAGCTATATATTAGTCTTTTAACATTTTAGACATCTCTTACTGCTAGTCATTGTAACACAGAATATGAATATATACCCAAAAACCTACTTTTGAAACTCAGAAATTCATATCAATAACATTCATTATAATTCATAAGTTATTTAATGTAACCTTATAATAAAATTTTTACATTAAAATCTTGTATGTACTGTGTGCTTTATACTGCATTAATATTTAGATTATTATCATTAAAAGGGAGAGAGAATGTCTGATAAGTATGAAATAGTAATCTAAAACTTATAATACGATATATTTAAATCAAAGGGATTTATGGTTGAGATTTTAGTGTAAAAATCTTGTAAAATGATTGATGAAATAAAAACAAAACTGAGACTCGATTTCCTGTGAATATCGCTAAACATATTCCTGAATACATAGTAAGAGAAAAAGTCCACTCAATGTTCAGATGTAATCATCAACTCTATTGATATGTAATCAATGACAGCATTATATCTGATATAATAAGTGAATGCATATATTCTTGTGATGATTATTGTAATGATTTTCTCGTTTTGACAAAACCGTTACATATCGTCGACAACAGTAACTCAACATCGCGTATATAATGTAGTAGTTATGCGTTAAGAGCCATAAGCCATCTCTTGGTCCGGGGTCTGACTGTTTGGCATTTGTAACAGAAATAAGTAGACAAGTAGTCAACACACAAACGTCTAACTGTGCATCACATCTCTATCTTATTTCATGGCATACCGTAGTGTTTAAGGGCACAGAGTTATTGATTGGGTAAAGGGCAGGCAATTCTTACAGTTATATACGACTAGATATGAGCACAACTTTCCTAGCATCCATGTGCTGCCTCTACACCAAACACCGCCACCATTCACATTACTATAACATTCTGTATGCTATACTATAACTGTATATCGACTTAAATTCTGGGAGAACTCATATATATATGTTGGGAACTATTAGATACATACAGATAATACACGGGCACCAGAATAGTCAGTGAGTTTGCTCGACACAAGCATTTCGCGAGACACTGGGAGTACACACTTTGCTATTCCTACCCGTTTTTCATATAACATAGAGTTCCCTGAAATTCTCGCTCCCTTTTCACGTCGACTACTAGTGAAAAACACCGGTCAGTATATAACATCTCTTTTATATATATATTGTTAGATATATATTGAGAAATAATTCTTTTTAAAACCCTTTTTTATTAAACGATTATTTACACAAACGATTATTACTCTATTTACTACCTATTGATATGTGATCTTAAATGTTGTTTTCAAATGTAATTCTTGTTTTATATATTTTCATGTCTTATGATGTTTTTGAACACATTTGTTGTGAGTAATTCTTGTTAATGCCATAAAAATTTATACTCAAAGGTAAAGAATAATTTAAATTCTTGTAACTATTCATTTATTATGAAAACTAGTATTTATTTAAAATGAGATTAATTGTGAATTGTTTCTCGACTAATATTTGTTTAAAAGTCAAACCCAGTAATACAGTTTCACTCGAGTGTTAAACAAATTATTATTATATTCCGTATAAATACTAAAGAATTTTAAAATTCTCATTGAATTGATTTTTATATACAAAAATTCTTTTGAGACATTTTTTCTCCGCAAAACTTAAATGTCTTTATTTTGTTTGATTTTTTATATAATAGAGACATTCCTTTCGCTAAACTTATTTTGTTAAATGAGTTTTTTGTTAAATTATAAATCAATATATATTTTATACAAATATTACTTTTACTCGCCAAACAATTTGATACTTACTTTTATAGCTATAATATTTATATCGATACCGATATCTTGTGTGAGATATAAAAATAGATTATTTAAACAGAAAAATAAATGTTTAGAAAACAATTTGTAATCTATGTTAAAATTAAATTATTGCATGAGGAATATTCTCAATGTATATTAATGTGATAAACATTATTGTGATTTCTTAACAAGATTATTTTACTACAAATCTAAGCTTCGTATATATTATTACATTTATCGCAAAGCATTTCTAATCTATCGTATCTAAAACTGTTAAATATATTTTGAATAATAATTATAAACTCATCCCATTGGGTGTAAAAAATTATTTAATACTAGCAAAAACGGATACTAAATATATTCTGTGAAATGTATTCATAAATAGCAGAAAAATCCATTAAAATAATTATATCAAATAGAAATTTTTGGAAAATTTATTTTAATTGAAAATTAATGCAATAAATTTTATTGAGAATATTTATGATATGCACGCTAAATAACCATGTTATGTGAAATATGATATTTAATTAAATTAAATTTATAAATATATAATTTTTAAATACATGTACTTTTGTGCCGGTAATATAATTTAAAATGTGATTCGCTACTATGTTAAACATTATAGCGTTATGTAATTTTCGAGTCAAAAATGTCACAAATTTTTGACATATAAAAAAATATATCCTTATTCCGATGCATACCTCCTATTAGGCGACCCCTTGGCTTTCAAACTTAACGCTAGATATATTCATAATCGGAGTGAATGCTAACGTATAAGTGCTTATTTATTTTTATAATAAGTTTTCAAAAGTAATTGTCTCGGCATATAATAAAAGTGTTGAACAAATGTGAGCTCACGTCTCAATCAAAATGTGAAACGCGTTTCGGAATCCACTGAATATCTCCTATTATTACGAATACAGAGATAGATATGAAGTTTTGTATCGGATTTTCGTGATTATGTGAATGAAACCACTAATTAATTTGCTTTTCTATACACAACTTACTTTATTATTATAACTACAGGTATATAATATAACTATCAGCAATATATTATATACAGTGTGTTGTGAGTGCATTAATTTGCTCGTCAATACATACCTGTCCTTTCATTCACTCGTTCATTGCAACAGTTTTTTTAAATGTAAAAGTTAATATCAAAAGTATAGTCGTGTTGATTTGAATTATTTTTTATGCTCAACAAATTGAAACGATTAGCTAATATTCTGTAAAACAATTTTTTAATAAAATTTATTTATGTCTCGTAACAGTAGGCTTATTTTACAGCGAATTAATTATTGGCATTCATTTGTCACTAAATACTGAATTAATATTTAATAGTATTAATACATTTCTCAATTAACTTTTGTATTCATTGTATTATAATTTAATTATAGATATTTTATAGCAATCATTTATTGATTAACACATTATTTACAGTAAATAATTTGTCCAAATCTCCAATGATTTCACATATATTTGATTACTGTATATCCGTATCCGTATCTAAGTTATTAAAATAATTATTATAAAAATTAATGTATTATGAAAAATAAACCAGAAAATAATTATCATATAAATAAATTTTATATTATTATTGAGTTTTTGCTATAATTAAGTAATGGAAAAATTTCCCTTTTTGTTATAAAGCAAATAATAATTAGGAAATATATATTAATATTTATATAATTATCTTATATTTTATTGGTTTGAAAGAAAATTTATTTAAAAATTTTCTTCAAAAACATTATTTTTTATTCAAATAACTGTTATATGTAAAAATTTATGAATAATATATCAAGCAGTTAATATTTTGCATGAATATTATATTTCACAGAATATTCTGTGCTTATTGCCATACTAGTGTCGACATGTTTTTGTGTAATGGCAATTAAAACAAAAACGTCTGAGCCATTTAATTAATTGTTTACAATTAAAGTCTCAGCCCTTAAATATAATGGACTATTGAATTTTCGTTCACTTAATACTATGAATACACTGCGAAAAAACATTGAGAGATAAGACAATAACAAACACTAACTAACAGAATGAGTAAACGAATGTCGAAAAAAGGTTTAATGATTTTTCTGTCGAGTCTCTCATGAAAACTAAACCATAACTTCTCGCCACTGTTTTTGGCTTCAAATTGCTGTTTATATACAATATATATCATGGGATGAGTTGAACCATATTATTAACTACATGGGAGTGAGAGGTATTTGTCGTCCGAAAGTCCCTCAGAAATTGTTTGTATGCTTTACTCCACAACAACACTATTGTATCGATGATTCTGAACGCAAAGAATACATACAATAAGCAAAATAAATAGAAATATAAAGAGACGACTCCTTTGGGATATAATTCATATGAAAATATTATTGAAATATAGTTTATATCGAGAGTCAGTATATAAGTACGGGGAATATGTTTGCCAATAAATGAATACACACAAAAACAAAAAGTGTATCACAAAAACTAACTTATACATCCATTTATGTATCCATTTCCTTTTGTCTATTATTATGGGATCTTATCGCTAGTATTCCGCGAATACTTGTCATCACGTTTTCGTTATTGTTTTGACATAACTTTATTCAGTTTTTGTTTATTATATTTTTGTTTTTCTATGTATTTTTATATTTATTATATGAGTGCGGAATATAAAAAGAAATTTTTAAAAATCGATTTAATGTTTGTATAAAATATAAACAGATATACAATAAAATATAAGACACTAACCGATTGACACGAGTATAGAGAATCTACACATTTATTGGAGTGTTTGATAAATATTGAGATTTTTATTGTATTTTTCTCTCCCTTTATCTGTCAATCGATAGCTCCAGAAACGTGCCGATAGTTATCGGTCAGCCGTACCTAATAGAGCGCCCGATGATTGTAGGACTGCGTCCGGAATCCCCAAAATGGCAAAGAAACCAAACAGCAAAATGGACGAGCTCAAGCAGGAAGTCAGCATGGTAAGTGCAAACAGTGCATCTATTTGCTTTTAAATTGTACGCGTATGTACTCTGCCTACGGGTGGCGTGTTTTGTCAATTCAAATGTCTCTCAAATCAATTCACATATCTATTTGCGAGCCCTATAAATTTATACTTCAATAGAATAATCAATCGCTTAATAATAACACAATTGTTAATAGACTTCCTGTTGTCGTTAGAATAGGCCGTAAACCTGGACTTATAGTCAATAACTCAATACAGAGTATACAATAGTATTCAATACTATTCACTATCAACCAGAGGGTATTGACATGAAATACAATACACACTATATTCTTGTATATAAATTCTTGCATTGAAT